TTTTTAGTGAATATGCCAGATTGCCCTCTAAGAAGGGTATAACAATATTTGATTGTTCATTTGCCTACATCTTTATCAGCATTTGATGTTACTAATTAAAAAAAAATTTTTTTTCCCAATCTGCTGGATAGCAAATGGTATCAATTGAACTTGCATTTTCCTAGCAAGATTGCATGGCATAGTGTCTAAAAGCATGGACCTGTAGTCCAGCTGCCTGGGTGTGTTGCATACTACCTGTGTGACCTTAGCAACTTACATAACTTCCCTGTGACTCAGTTTCATTGTTCCCGTTGAAAATAGGAAAAGTAATAGTACCTGCCAAATAAGATTATTATTGGAATAAATGGAGTTAATATTTGTAAAAATTTAGAATAGTGCCCGGTGGTTAGAGCAGTGCCTGACATGTAATAAACACTATATGAGTTAAATAAATGTTAGTGATATTAGACATCTTTTTATATTTCATTAACATTTGCATTTTTTCTGCTAAATATGAATGCCACAATGTTTAATTTTTAGTGTAAAAAAAGTGGATGGATTTTCTTTTCACTTTTGAAATCACATTACTTCCAGGGAAAAGCATAGTAATCCCTGCCCTACCTCCCTTCTAGAAGAAATACTCCACCGCTGGGAAATGCCAAATGCCAGGATGCTGAGAAGAATTTTGCTGGAATGTTTGAATTAGAAGGAAAATAGAGAGGTTTTGAAAAATAGACAAAAATGTTCTAAATAAAAGAACAATCCCAGATTAACCATAAAACGCAATTTAAACTTTTCTTTCCTAATGCCAATGGTGCAATTTTAGAAGTGAAAAATCATCATTTGATATCATGGATTTCAGAATAGCTCAGCCTTTCTTGTTGAGATTACTAACCACATACCTCTTTATTCAACTGGTTATTTTTCACTTGGATTTGTCCTCTACAGGGAATCTTGTATTATTTATCAGTCATATAAATCTAAAACCACCCAGCACTGGGCTTGCTTAAATGTCAGAGACAACTGTTTCTTGTGTTCTTCCTCTCAGCTTCTATCAGCAACACGTTCATTTTATGTTTTCTCTACATCTTTAGTGTGGTGGAAAGGTGCTCTTTCATCAGGCTTTGGCTTTAGTCTGTTTTGGTTAAATTCACATTTGAGTAGTTTTATTCCATTTCAGAATTATTGGGGGTTGGGGAGGGAGGGCAGGTGAGGTGGAGAGGGAGGGAAAGCAGGAGGGAAGGAGGGGGTACTTTCTGAACCAGATTCATTGGCTTCTGTGCACTATTCTTAGGCAACGTCAAACTGACTTTTATTGAACCCTTAGAAACAATAGCAGGCAGTGAGAATGTTTATGGAAAAATAACCCTTTATAATCTCAAATTCAAACCTGATATCCTACACCATTTCCTATTTTTCCAGCTCATTCCCTCCAGTCCTTGGACTCAACTAGCTGTTCCACTTCACCTCTAATCCATTGACCCCATCACCTTCTTGCTGATCATTACCTCCCCTCAAGTCTTTACTGCATGCCTTAATTCCCTTGTGTATATATTCAATTCCCCTGCCCTTTTCTGCCTCTATCACTCTACTCTGAATTAATTAGCACAAACCTACAGCGGATGTGTAGCCAGCCAATCTTGAAGCATTTCCCTGAATTATTTCCTTTTCTCCTAGACCGTCATCTGATCCCTTCTCTTCCCTCCTCCAACCTCTAACGCCCCTCCCTACTCACTCTCAGCTCATGACCTGATTTCTTATTTCACTGAGAGGATACAAGCAACCAGAAGAGAAATTCCTCATGCTCTCACCAGCAAAACTCATAACGTAGGTGCATCTGTGTTGATAAGCCAGCTCTCAGCTGTTGATGTAGGGGGCAAACCATCCCTGTACCCCTGTAGGACAGTTCTTGCACATGCGTGCTAGCTTTTGCACATTCCCCAACCTCACTTCTTACTCAAGGACAACACTTCTGCAATTTTATATTCTCTCTTGCATGATCAGCCTCCTTCTCCTTACTTAATCACTACCATCAGCATACAAGGGTTCCACAGTATCTCATTTTTTTAAACTTTTTTTATGTCTTTATTTTATTTTTTTGAGAGATGATAGTAGGGGAGCGGCACAGAGAGGGGGAGACACAGAATCTGAAGCAGGCTCCAGGCTCTGAGCCTGTCAGTACAGAGCCTGTCAGCACAGAGCCCGACGTGGGACTCGTACCTACGGACTGTGAGATCATGACCTGAGCCGAAGCTGGACGCTCAACAGACTGAGCCACCCAGGCACCCCTCACAATATCTCATCTTTAAGAAATTTTCAATAGAGGCATTAATCATAAGCTTTATAAACAAATTTCTATCTGGTAATTGAATTGTATTGTATTGTATTTTTTATTTTAGAGAGAGGGAGAGCATACGAGGCGGAAAGAGGGGCAGAGGGAGAGAGAGAATCTTAAGCAGGCTTTAGGCTGAACATGGAGTCCAATGAGGGGCTTGATCCCAGGACCCTGGGCCAAAGTCAAGAGTCTGACACTGAACCGACAGCCACACACGTACCCCTGTCTGGTCATTTTATTGACGAATAACATTATGTGCAAAGGTACGAAACATGAAACTTGCTCTTTTAGTGGAGCATAAAACATTTTTTTTTCAAAGCTCAAAATTAGTGACACAGCAAATAGGTGTTCAATAAAATACACTAAAGTAAACTTGTTAATTGTCATATTTAAAAGTGGAAAGACTCCAACAGAAAGCAGGAGCAGGAGTTACCAGGTTTTGTGGGGGAATAAATGAAATGAATGTTTATGGGTCACACATTCCTAGTAAACTTAGGAAGTCATGTAACTTTGATATAGATAATGTTAAAATTAGTTTAGGAGTGGTATGACTTAGACTTTCCCTCTCCCAATAAAGTACCGGGGAGATAATATACAATCCTTAAATGTGAAACTGTTTAAAGCATTAATAAACTGCACATATCGCCTAAGGAATCTGAACACTTCTGTTTCTCCAAATGGTTGAATTGTAGTTCTCAGCACTGAAAGGATTTATCACCTGTGAGTATACAGGGGCCAGGTGTACGGTGCCAGATTGGCCTTCAGTTCAGGTCAGTAGACTCATTGGCTCCTCTCATCTCACACTGCTGGAGTTTCTGGTCCTGTGATTCCTGGAAGCACCTGGCTGACCTGTAAATGGCTGCCAGCCCCACTACTGACTGTCTTCTGTTGGACTTCCAGTCTCCCCCCGTCGCACCTTGATCTGGGTCACATTCTCTGCCCTGTCACTGAATACCACAAGGACATGCCTGCCATCTTGTATTGGCTCTCTGAAGCCCTAAGTATCTGAACAGTAGAAATATTTGCAATTTCAGTTGCAAAATGTCTGTTTCTATTTAGAAATGAGATCTATGTTTGCTGAAAAGAAGACAAACCACTGTTACAGATGTTTGATTTTCTGGAAGTCATAGGTAGTAACACCCTTGGTACTCAGCCACACAGGGTGTACCCAAATCCCCAGGGCAAAAGATTGACATATAGGAGCACTTCCCATCCCAGAGGTAGTAGCATTTTTGGGGGATAAAGTCAAACGTGGTGTTACACTGAGCACACCTTGAATATTCTTGATCCAGGACTTATTGTGGCTTTTCCCTATCAACCTGGATGCCAAAGCTCTGTGCCTGCATACCAGGCAAGTGCCAGCTTCTCAGTGTCAAGTGCATGGCTACTGTTAAAAAACAAGATTCAACTGAATAAATTTGAAGATCTAATATTTATTATTAAATGATTCATGAATGGGACAGTATCCCATCTAGCAAACAGAGAGGAGCTCTGAGGAGTTGCACAAAATGGAAGGTTTTTACAAGAAGGATGGTGGGGCAAGAAAGTTTTAGGCAAAAGAAAGTATTGTTTCAGGTGAGATCACTTTCCCTCAGGGGGAAGGGCAGAAATTCTTATTATGTAGATTACCTCATTCTTCCCTTTTTGGTGGGGGGGTTGGGAGGGGATGAAGAAGGCTCTTGTGACAGATTATCTCCTTGCTACTTTCTGACTGGCAGGTTAAGACTACATTTCTGAGTGGAAGAGAAAAGCTGCAATTAGGTTAGGTATTAAGGCCTGGTTTGGTGACTCGGCCTGGCCCAAGTAGTGCCATTTTGGGCCTGTAGTTTTCTTTTTAACTCCTCTCCAGGGACAGGATGCCACTTCACTCACCTGCCATGGCTGCTGATTACTATCTCATCTTTAAAAAATACCTCCTTGGACCCCTAATTACCCTCGAGCTGTTGGCCATTTGTATACCCCCCATTACAAAAGGTGTGTATGTTCTTGTTCTCATAGTGTATCTTTTCCCATTTTTTTTTTCTTCTGGAAATCAGTCTAACATTCCTTCCCCCATGCCACCTGCATTGTCAAATCCAGTGCTATTAGTTACAGCTGACACAGGTGATCACTCTTTCCTTCCTATGACGCTTTCTTCTCTTGGTTTCTAGAATACCATGCTTTCTGGTTTTCCTTCTGGTCCCTTCTCTGGCTCCTGCTCCTCTTCCTTATCTTTTAACATCACAGTGCCCTGGGGCCCAACCTTTGGTTCACTTCTCTCTCCTCTTTTCACACTAGGCTTCTATATGATCTCAGATAGCCCCACCCACAGGGATGACATAAAATACAGGATTCCCAGTTAAATTTGAATATCAGATATACAACCAATAATATTTAGTCCTGTGACTTTATTTTCTAAATCTGGCAAACTCATGCTAATGACTCACAAATTTCTATCTCTAGCCCAAATAGCTCTCCTGAACTTTTTATAGACGGCAATAGTGAATCTTGCATATATAACAGTGATAGGGAAAAATCTGTTATAAGATGGCTGACAGCATTGATAGGGGAATTCCAATCCCGCCTGAAGTCTACTCTTCCGGGTTTATTCTTCCCAGCCTGCTTGTCGCGCATATTAATGAGGAATGCGGAAGTAACAGACTATAAATTGTCCTCCATGCTTGCACTCAGGACTCAGACCTCTGGAGAGTGATCTCCCCTGAGCCTGCCAGTGTAAAATAAACCACCTGCCTTCCAAGCTATCTGAGTGCCACTTGCTTCTGCTGCTGGGTGATCCAGACCAGATTCTGTAACATTTGGTTTCCTGACCGGGAAACCTAACCGTGCTGGCCCGTTGTTGCCACCAGTTTAAGAAAACGGCGAGGCGGTGACGAAATGAGAAACTGCAAAGGAGAAGGCGCGCCCTGCCTGAATTTTGGTAGTCTCCCAAGGAGACTTGGCAGGTGAGGACCTGGAATCGATGTTGGTAAGGCCTGGGCCCTGAATCTGTCCTGTCCGGCCCACTCCTGGTGGTGGAAGGGGGACCTGATCACTTCCCAGAGACCTCAGCGGTCTCACCGGTAGAAATTCTGTGGGAGGGAATGTGCCTCCGGTGTGTATGTGAGTGTGAATGGCGACTCAGTCTGACTTGCCTGCTGAGTTCAATTCTGTGGCTCCACTGGTGGGCACCCTTAAGGTCCCCAAAAGCCTACGGAGTGGGCCTGTCTGCGATTCCGTGGTGAACGGCATACGTCTATAGCGGCATCGGAATAGTTTCCGATCGTAAGTCACAAAGCTGAGACTGCTATGGCTAAGCGTCATCTAAGTTCCTTTGAGACGCGGCCAGACGAGCATCTGACTGGTCTCCTCATTAGAAGGGGGACCCCTACTCTGTTTGTTTTTGCGACTGTCTCATGGGAACATTATGGGGTCGGGACTGAGCAAAGAAGGGGTTTTCGGGAGAGTATGAATTTAAGATGAACTCCTGGCAAATTAAGTGCCCTATGTGAGTTAGAATGGCCCACTTTTGGTGTAGAATGGCCCTTAGAGGGAACCTTAGGTGTCCCAACCATCCACGGCATTTGGCATGTCTCCAGAGACCCAGATTACCCTGATCATTTCCTGTATATCGACTCCTGGTTAGAGATTGCCCAAACCCTTCCCTCTTGGGTGTGATTTACCTGCAACAAACAGGGACAGGCTAGGGTCTTAGTCACCTCGACAAAGTGGCCCAAGGAAAGTCAACAAAAGTCCTGACTTCCACAAATTCTTGCCGGTACTCTGGAGGAAGAACTGTGCCATCTTCAGTCTCCCCAATACCTCTGGACTCAGCAGATCCACTCTCCCCCCATACCAGTGGCCAGATTGTCCCCTTGGCCAGGTGCCGGTCCACTGCTGCTGATACCAAGAGGCTCTCCTTGGGAAAGAGGGTGGATCCAAGCAGGGGTGAAGAAGCCCTTGAATATACCCAGCAGCAAAGGGGAATCCCCTGGGGATTATTATGAGAGCCTATGCAAGGCTTACACCCTGTTTGACTCCGAGGCACAAGAGAGCCATGACAAAAGGACAGGGAAGGTCCAGCTGCCAAAAGCAGGGAGGCCCAAAACCTCCTTAGCAAGGGTCAATGAGCCTACTGCAAGGAGAAAGGACATTAAAAGAATAAATGTCCCAACCAGGGAAAGTAAGTCCCAGAAACCCAGCTGAGATGCACAAGAACCTTGCAAAAAGGACCTCATAAGCCTAGCAGGAATAGATTCAGATTGAGGGAGACCAGGCTCACTTCTTCCTGGCCCCTATGAGCCTATGGTCAAAATAAAAGTAGGGGTCCATATTATGACTTTTATGTGTATTCGAGGGCCACACGGTATGGCATGAGTTCCTCTACCTACCCGAGTGCCCTATCCGTCTCCTCGGCCAAGATATACTCTCAATGCTGGGGGCCCAAGTAACCTTTGAGCCAATGGGATACACTAGCCCCCAACTGGATCCAAATGGAGGCTATTCTGTGCCCAGGCCCAACCAAGCGGCCCACTTGAATTCAGGACTGCCTTTCCCACGGTGTGTCCCGAGAACAATTCCCCTCCCCAGACTTGGCCACAACTGGGCCCTCGCCATTGTAGAGTTAATCCCAGGGGCTCAACTGTAGAGACTGTGGCAGTACTGCCTCCCACAAGAGGCAAGGGCAGGCACACACACAAAACACACATTCTGGTTGAATGCCAGTCACCCCAGAAACCCCGCTCTTGCCAGTCGAGAAGATGGGAAGAGGGTACCGACCCGTTCAAGCCTTGTACCCTGTGGTCTTGAACGCGTACACTCTCCTCAGCCAGATCTTGGGCTCTGCCAGATGGTTTGCCTGCCTAGACTTAAAGGATGCCTTCTGCCTCCACTTGGCCTCCCGTCCCCCCCCCCCCCCCCCCCCCCCCCCCGCCTCCAGGCCAGTCCTTTTTTGCCTTCAAATGGACAGAACCAGACACAAGGCATCAGATGCAACTGACTTGGACATGCCTCCCACAGGGGTTTAAAAACTCACCTGCTCTCGTTCTTAGGAGGCACTGGCCAGAGACCTTGCCAGCTTTTGAAGGGAGGCCACACATACCCTTCTCCTGAACATGGGTGACCTCCTCCTTGCCAGCATTACCCGGGAAAATTGTACCGAGGGCACAAGGGCCCTCCTCCTGTTGGACTCAGGGTATTGAGTCTCATGCAAAAAGGTACAGATCTGCCAACAACAAATCTGATATGTAGGCTTCCTCCTTACCCAAGGAAAAAGAGCACTACTGCTGGAGAGGAAATTGGTCATCACCTCCCTACCTCAGCCCCAAACTAAGGAGGGGCTATGATAATTCCTCAGGGCTGCGGGATTCTACTGAATCTGGATTGCCAGATTCTCAGCAATAGCAAGACCCCTCTATAATCTCTTGGTAGGGCCAGATCGGGAACCCCCTGTCTGGACCAAGGAGGCTGAAGCCCCTTTGCTAGAGATAAAGGCAGCCTTGGGGCAGGCACCAGCTCTTGGTCTGCCAGAATATAGAAGTCTTTTAATCTCTTTATGCATGAGAAGGAAAAGGTCGCCCTCGGGGTTCTCACACAGACTGTTGGCCCTTGGCAACGGCCAGTAGCATACGGTTCTACACTGCAAAGAACACTAGAAAGGAGACAACCCTACAGCACAAGGAAATCAGGAAATCCCTCTGACAGACAGCAACCAAGATAGCAGCTAATAAGGAGGTAGACCTAGCTCCCTCCCTTATCTGTGCCGCAAGCCCTATCAGGAGTTCAAAGTAGAAACTGTCCCCTGGTTGGCCTTACCAGCCACACCCTACAGCGATAACAGGCCTCAAAGCTCAGGAAAAGTAAAGAAGATGAATTGCACCCTCAAGAGAACCTTAGCCAAGTTCTGTCAGGAAACAGACCTCCCATGGCCAGACCTGTTGCCCCTGGCCCTCCTGTGTGTCTGTTGCACACAAGGAACTCAAGGTTTCTCCCCTTTTGAGAGGTCCCCCATCTTTTTAGGATCTCCTATACATCCCCTCTCACCAGGGGACTCAGTCTAGGTCAAAGATTGGAAAAAAAGACCCTCTCAAACCACAGTGGACTGGGCCTCATACAGGTATCACTCCATGGGTCTACTACTCCAGAGTCAAGAGGACCAATCCTGAGGAGCCCCAGACTTGGAACATGACCCAAGTTCGATCTTCAGCCTTGTTCTAGCCACACCCAGGAAGGTCTACACAGGGCAGAAGCTTGAGGAATCGCTGGTCTGAGAAAATAAATAGACTGTCCTTACTTCTTGCCATCGGAAAGCTGGGGAAACAGCGAGAGGTTCCCATTTGTACTCACCTTTCTCATGGATAGGATGTTTTGTTCATATTGATTGCCTCTAATTTGGGCCCCATTTGTAGGAGCAGAGTACCTTCAGTGGAAGAATCTGGGGGTTTAAAAGTTTAAATGTAGTGTAACCTCTTTCCGTCTGTTGGGTTGCCTGCCAGTAAGGAAATTGTTAATGCCATTTTGGGGAATTTTTTGCACTGATGTATGTGCCTCAAACTTCAAGAAAAAGAGATTAAATAATTCTCAGGATAAAAGTTGGTGCTTAGATTAACCTTCAGCCTTAAGGCCCAGGCTAAAAAAGTGGTGTTACTACCCATCCTCCTATGGACAAGAATGGCCACAGGGAGAGGGACTGGCAGAGGAGGCACAGGCCCCTCTGTGGGACTAATGAGTAGCTGACTCCCTTGTGTCCCTAAAGAGCCAAATAAGTTCCCTGGCAGGAGTTGCCCTCCAAAACAGATGGGCCCTTAACCTCCTCACTGCCAGGAAAGGGGACACCTAAATATTCCTTGGAAAAGAATGCTGTAAACAATGCTTTGTAAACCATTCAGGAATAGTCACAACCAAAGTCAGGGGAACTAAAGGAAAAGAACCAGCCCATAATAAATAAAGATGATACCCTCTAATACCGACTAGATCTGTTTAAAGGGGCATCAAAGTGTGGAATGATAGGGAAAAATCTGCTATATAAGATGGCTGACAGCACTGATACGGGAATTCCAATTCCCGCCCAAAGACTTCCCTTCCAGGTTCTCCTTCCCAACCTGCTTGTCATGTGCACTAATGAGGAATGTGGAAGTGACAGACTATAAATTGTTTCCTCTGCTTGAGCTTTGGACTCATACCTCTGGAGAGTGATCTCCTCTGAGCCCACCAGTGTAAAATAAACCTCCTGCCTTCCAAGATCTCCGAGTGCCACTTGGTTCTTCTGTGGGGTGATCCAGACCAGATTTCCATAACAACAGCTCCAACATCTCCACTTAGATCTTTAACAGGGAGCTCAAACTTACCATGTCCAAAACAAATCTTGATTCTCTTTCCTCCCATCAAAGTTACTGCTCTTGTAGACTTCCTCCTCTCAGGCAATGGCATAACTATTGTTTCAGTTGATGTACTTGTCTTTGACTCCTTTTCTCACTTGGTGCACATCCTCTCCATTAGCATTGTGTTATCTTCACAATATAATCAGAATTAGCATTGTGTTATCTTCACAATATAATCAGAATTCTCACTTCTACCACTTGCACCGCTACCATGTAGATCCCCGCAGCCTTCTAACCCAATATACACTCCACAGAGAAATCTGTTAAAAACAAACCAGATCGTATCACTCCTCTGCACTAAAACCTACAATGTCTTCTCTTCTCTGAGTAGAATGTAAAATCCTTTACCATGGCCTGCAGACTGCATACTATCGGTCCCTCTGCACCTCTCTGACCTCACAGGCCATCACTGGCACCCTTGCTTCTATAACCAAACCAACACGAGTTCACTTGGTGAATCATAAACTGCACCAGGATGAGTGATCGCACAAAGAAAACTTGCAGCAAATAACGGAGATTACGGGGAAAGGTTTCCAAAGCGGTGACTCCTCTGAGCAAGGGTAGATGGGTTCATTTTATTTAGGATT